TCAATTTAGTTGGAGACAAAAGATTGAATTTAGTGTTCTTCTTCTACTGGAGAAAGTGCAGAAAAAGAATTAGATCTTCAAACAGCCTGGGTTTTTGGCACACAAAAATGTAAGTTATTTGATCTGGTTTAGTTGTTGCATACTTTATCCCAAGTGCTTGCTGCCTCTGCCTTTTCCCTTTTGCTCCTCAAATATACATAGTAACTAATCTGACTTAGGTGAGTACTGTTAACAGTCACATCACTAGATCAGATAAGGTCTAAAAAGGAACAGGAAGTTGGAAGATATAATTTAATATTCATATCATTAGGAATAGAAAAAAATACATCATTGGTGAGATTTTCTTTCCTTTAATAACATTTCCATAAATAGTTCTTTCAAGTTTTGTGTGCTTTAGTAAAATCTGTTATAGCAAAGTCATTCATTTATAATTTGATTTTTATTTGGGAATGTGCATAACCCCTTTCTCTTCCCATTACTAACCTGTTTAACTCTCAGTAAATTATGGGTTGAAATTATATTTATATTGTGCTACAATCACAAAATTTAGTGTAGTGTTTCCCCTAAAGTATTTTATTTTCTCTTTTGTTTTCTTTATTTTTCCTCCCTATAACCTCTTCCACCCCTCTCCCCCAGCAGTCACCACACTGTTGTCCGTGTTTTCTCATTTAAAAAATTTTCTAACTTAGCATTTAGACACTAACTCTGCACCACCGTGTGTGTGTGTGTGTGTGTGTGTGTGTGTGTGTGTGTGTGTGTGTTTTAAAGATTACTACCCCTCACAGCTAAGGGTGTGATTGTGTTACAGAAACTATGGGTGATTAATTTTGATTGTGTTACAGAAACTATGGGTGATTAATTTTCATCCAAAAATCTTTGAAGGAGTTCCACACCCAAGAGTAATTTTAAGTACAAGATTAGTGACATTTGGGGAGTTTTTCCCCCTTTCGGTTTTAAAGATAAAGTTGATTTATTTAATTTGAAGAGTTTCCTGAGTCTGAGATTGTCTCTACATTTTGAGTATAAAACAATTGTGACACTGTGTTGTTAACATTGACGTTGTTTTATTCATTTATTTATTTTTTATCTTTTTTGAAAATCTGAACTTTAATAAATAAATTCTGACCTGTGGAAAAAATGTTAGAAAAATTTGCTTTTATTTCTAAGTTACATGCTGTATTTTACCAATGAAGTTGAATTAAAAGGAGTTACCTTTTAATCCATATCCTCTCTAGCCTTGCTCATTTTTCCTTGACAATTCTTAAACATTGAATTTTGCAAAACATGATTTGCAATAACAAAGACTTATGATTTTCAGCCTTAGCTGGGCTTTTAGTAATGCTTGGTAGTTAGTTCTGTGTTTCTTTCCCTTATGTTTTCCTTTTATATGCATGCCATACTCTCACCTTTGTCCTTAAGTTAGTATCTTTGTCATTCTCAGAAGGTTATCCTGTCTCCTATTTCAGATGTGGAGAGGGATAAGAGGAGAACAGGGGTAAAGGCAGAGAAAGGGAGAGAATGTACCTACTATATTTGCCCTTTTCTCCTCTGCAGGAATCTCAGTCAATATTCATTTTCATCCTGTGTCTATAAATTCTCCCACCTTACTGAGTACTCAGTCATTAAGAACATGTTTACATCTCATCTATCCTAAAAATTATCCTGTTATCAATTTTCTCTCAACTCTGCTCTTTCTAGCAACAACTCCATCTCATTCTTTACATTTATTGCCAATCTTTTGAGTTTACTTACACTTTATATCCTTCTATTCAGACCTCAACTATATTCTTTAAAAATTTTTTTAAATTGAATTCATTGGGATGACATTAGTTAATAAAATTATGTAGGTTTTAGGTGCACAGCTCTATAATAGCATCATCTGTATATTGTATTGTGTGTTCACCACCCCAAGTCAAGTCTCCTTCCATTACCATTTATCCCCCTTTCACTTTCTTCCACCTCCTCCCACTCCTCTTTTCTTTACCTAATCACCAGACTATTGTCTGTGTCTCTGAGTTTTGTTTTTTTCTTAGTCTCTTCATCTTTTACACCCAACTATCCATATATATAAAAGCCTAATCGGCCGTTCGACCGGTAGCTATGATGTGCACTGACCACCACGGGGCAGACGCTCAACGCACAGGCACGGAAACATGGAACAGACTGATGAATCTCAGAGGAAAGTGGGGAGGGGGGAGGCTGGGAAGAGATTAACCAAAGATCTTATATGCATACTAGAGATCCGGTGCACGGATTTGTGCACTAGTGGGGTCCCTCGGCCTGGCCTGCGGGGATCGGGCCAAAACCAGCAGTCTGACATCTCCCAAGGAGTCCTGGATTGAGAGAGGGCGCAGGCCAGTCTGAGGGACCCCATGCGCCGGGCCTCTACTATTCTTATAAACACCAGTCTGTTAAAATTGTGAAGTATTTGATTTCTTTGTAAGATTATACATTGATTTCTTATTCCTTTAGTAGATAAAAAAAGTTTTGATCAAGAATTTACAAGTAGTTTAAACAGTCAAACAGTATGCTGCAAAGCTAGTAGAAAAAGAGTACCCTTCTTCACGCCTTCCAGTGCCTGATCTCCACAATCCAGAGGCAGCCACTTGCAACCCCTTTTATCATTTCTTCTGTTACTGACTTTCTTATATCCAGATTAACATGTTACACTGACTTTTGTATACATACATCAATTTCCTTACAGTTTCCTCCAATTTTCCATCTCCTGGATTTCTTAAAATTTAAAATTTAAAATTTTCTTTTTTTTGTTCATATACTAATTCTTTAAAATTGATGTTTAGTAGAGCATTCTTTGAATTTTATTTTCAATTATTAAAGGATGGTAATGCATTTCTCTTATGCCAAATGAAAAAATAATAGCACATATTGAACAGAAGAACTTACATCCTCTCTTTTCCAACAAAATTCTCATGCAATCTTTTCCTTTCAGCCTCATTGGTATCTTACTCATCTTTGAACATGCCAAGCATGATTCTACCTACTGGCCTCTGAACTTGCCCCTTCTGAATGGAACAACCCTGTTATGGACTGAATATTTGTGTTCCCCTCAAATTCATTTGGAAACCTTACCTCCCAATTTGATGCTATCAGGAGTGGGGCCTTTGGGAGGGGATTAGGGTTAGGTGAGGTCATAAGGGCTTTGCCCTCACGAATGGGGTTTAGCACCCCTGGAAAAGCACAGAGAGAGCCTGCTTCTGTTTGCTCCCGGCCACGTGAGGATGCAACAAGAAGGTAGCCACCTGGCAGCCGGGAAGCATGTCCGTTCCAGACCTTGAATCATGAAGCTTATCCCTTATATTTTTTCTAAGAGTTTTATAGTTTTAGCTGTTACATTTAGTCTTTTCATCCCTTTTGAATTAGTTTTTGCATATGGTATAAGGTAGGGGTTCAGTCTCACTCTTTTGCATGTGGATATCTAGTTTTCCCAGCAGCATTTGTTAAAAAGACTGCCCTTTCCCCGTTTGAATGGTCTTGATACCCTTTATTGAATATTATCAGACTATATATATATATATATATATATATATATATATATATGGGTTTATTTGGGGGCTCTATTCTATATCACACTACTGTTTGATTACTAAAGCTGAATGTAGTAAGTTTTGAAATTAGGAAGTGTGACTTCTCCAAGTTTGTTCCTCCTTTTCAAAATTGTTTTTGCTATTTAGGTTCCTTATAAAATTTAGGATGGATTTTTGTATTTCTGCAAAAAACACAAAAGAGGAATCACACTGAATCTTTATATCACTTTGGGTAGTATTGACATCTTAGTGATATTAAATCTTCTAATTTGTGAACATAGGATGCTTTGCCATTTGTTTGTGTGTTCTTTAATCTTTTTCAGCAGTGTTTTGTAGTTTTCAGTGAACAAGTCTTGCTTTTTTAGTTAAGTTTATTCCAAAGGTATTTTTTTATGCTATTGTAAATAGAATTCTTAATTTCCTTTTAGGGTTATTCATTATTAGTGTATAGAAACCAATAAGTCTTTTTTTGTCATTTAATATATTACATTACTGAATTACTTCATCTTTTGTCAGTATTTCACTGGCAGTCAAGTGATTTTAACTAAACTCAAATGGAAACAAAATCAGAACAAAAAATTTCTTATTTGAGTGCAAGTATTAAATTTTTATTTTATTAAAACAATTTTTAAAATATTTTAATTGATTTTAGAGAGGAAGGGAGAGGGAGAGAGTGACAAAAACAGTAATAATGAGAGAGAATCATTGTTTGGGCTGCCTCCTGCATGCCACCCCACTGAATACGGAGCTTGAGACCTGGGCATGTACCCTATCAGGGAATTGAACTGTGATGTTCTGGTTCATAAGTCGACACTCAAACACTGAGTCACGCCAACTAGGCTAAATTTTTATTTAATCTTTGTTAATCAAACTAAGGTTTAAGCTTATCTAAGTGTACTAATTTGGACTATAGATCTGGAAAAATACTAGCAAATCGAAATTACCTTAAAAAAATTTAGTTTGAGCTCCTGATATCATTAAAAGCTTCTAGAAATGATATTTCGGGAGTATAAGTTAGAGCTCGTAGCCTTTACTGTGCCTTATTGATGTTTCTCTAGAACAGCGGTTCTCAACCCGTGGGTCGAGACCCCCTTTGGGGGGTCGAATGACCCTTTCACAGGGGTCGCCTAAGACCATCAGAAAACACATATATAATTACATATTGTTTTTGTGATTAATCACTATGCTTTAATTATGTTCAATTTGTAACAATGAAACTACATCCTGCATATCAGATATTTACATTATGATTTATAACATTAGCAAAATTACAGTTATGAAGTAGCAATAAAAATAATTTTATGGTCGGGGGTCACCACAACATGAGGAACTGTATTAAAGGGTTGCGGCATTAGGAAGGTTGAAAACTACTGCTCTAGAAGTTACTGGAAATGTCTTTTACAATTTGGAGGTGGGATATACAGTTGAATCATTCTAGATTTTCTTTTTTTACAGGCCACAGAAACATTATTTAGAATGGGCGTAGCAAGAGGAACCATCACAACGTTAAGAAATGGAGAAGTAAGATGATAATTTTGATATAATTATTACTTCTTACAGATATATACATATTTTTAAAAATATGGTTTTATTGATTTTAGAGAGAGAAAGGGAGAGGGAGAGATAAATAGAAATATCAATGATGAGAGAGAATCATCGATTGGCTGCCTTCTGCATGCCCCCTGCATCTCAGGCCCTGACCAGGAATGAAACTGCGACCTCCTGGTTCATGGCTCAACTACTGACCCACACTGGCCGGTCTTAGTATTAGTACTTAATTCATAGAATGAAATTTAAAAATGTGAATTTTATGATGCTTTATGTAACAAATTGAGAAAAACCTGTTGTATATCTGACCTAATAATCTATTTTAAATAATTCAGTCATATTGGAACCTGATCTTGGGCTGAAAATGAATTGCTGAGCCTTTTAATCTTTACTTACCAATTGTTTTTATGCTTAAAAGAAAATGGTAGTTTGTTTAATAACAACTTCTGGAAATATATTTTTTTATTGAAAATAATCCCATACTTTCCCAACCCTTTTTTCCCCTGTTTTATGCTCTATAGATCTGATACTTCTTTCTTAGGATAAAATAATTTGAAATGCTGATATTTATTACAGATAAAGAGAGATAGAAGGAGAGGGATGGGGAGAAGAAGAGGAAGAGGAGGGGAGAAAGAGAAATGGAATTTAGTCTGCTCTTTTTTATACTAGAGACTCAAGATACAGATTTTAAATTTTGACTTTTGTGTTTCTACCAATCTTAAAAAAAATTCTACTACCTGAAATAAATTTTTATTGAAAACGATTACTAGCCTAATTATCACTCTACTTTATAAAATGTCTTTGTCAATATATCTGCTTGCTAGGTGAAAGTGTACAATCATTTGGAAATCATAGACTCTTAAATGGCAAATCCCTTTGGTATTAATTTGTAACATATTTTTTGTATGAAGAAGACAAGTGACCCCTTTGTATTCTCAGCAAACTGTAGTATGTGGTGCCAGTTTAAGAAAACATTCTCATTAATGAAGTCAGATATATTTATCTGCCTAGAATGTGTCAAAATGAATATCAGATTTTAGTAATTACTATGTATTTTCTCATGGGGGAATGAACTTTTGAACTTTATCTTCTGTAATAAGAAGTTTGGGAAAATGTATGCAAGGCGGTTTTATAAGAAATCTTCTGAGCACATCAACACATAGTGCATATGTACCTATTTAGGGAAGTAGTTAAAGCAGTGTATTTTGATCCATTTCTCCCCCAGATTGCTACAGGTGACTAACCTGGTTAGCAAGTATTAATGTTGGACAAAGTGTTTTTTAAATTGTTTTTTTTAAAGAATAGTTTATTGCCCTGGCTGGTTTGGCTCACTGGATAGAGCGTCGGCCTGGGGACTGAAGGGTCCCAGGTTCGATTCCGGTCAAGGGAATGTACCTTGATTGCAGTCACATCCCCAGTAGCGGGTGTGCAGGAGGCAGCTGATCGATGCTTCTCTCTCATTGATGTTTCTAACTCTCTATCCCTCTCCCTTCCTCTCTGTAAAAAATCAATAAGATGTATTTTAAAAAAAAGAATAGTTTATTGATTTTTAGAGGGAGAAGAAGGGAGAGAAGCATCCATGTGAGAGTGCAATGTCGAATGGCTGTCTCCTGTGTTTCTTAATTTTGGGGCAGTAACTGAACCAAAACCTGGGCACATGCCCTGGACAAGAATTGAACCAGCAACCTTTTGGTGCCTGGGACACGCTCAACCAATTGAGCCACAATGGCCAGGGCCATATATACATTTATGTTTTTAAATAGCATATATTTTTTCTTAGTTTTTTTTTTTTTTTTTTTTTACTATTTCTCTTTTAATATCACCTTAGAAAATATGTGTGTTTAACAGGTAAAGTGTTAGTATTTAAAATAGTGAAGTCTCGGAGGCCTCATGGCTAGTAAAATGCCTGTAGCTAGTGGCTTGTAAAATCTAATCAAATGAGCAGATATTTACTGAGAGCATCTTAAAGCAGATGTGACACATGGCACTGGAATCAGATCTAGTTCCCTTTTCTTTCTTCCCTAAATATTAATTGAGTGCCAGGCACTATTGTAGGTGCTGGTTTTTAAATGTAAATAAAACTAAAATGGTTTCTACTCTTAGGAAGCTTTACAGTCTAGTGGCTGAGCCCATAACCTGCCACTTGAACTTTGCCAGTCAGTGTTGTTTTCTGTAAATGGGATAAAAGCATCCACTTCATGCATTACTCTGTGAGAAACAAGTTAGACAATATTTATAAAGCAACTAGCACAATATCTGACACAAAGCAAGTATTTTAGAGTTTAACCTGTACTAAATGATAACTATTTTTTATGTAATTAAACATGATGGAGTGTTTCTTTTTATATTAGAGTGAGTACATGGAGAGCTTGGGAGTGTGTTTATTTAGAATAGTGTGTGAACTGACACTTGGAAAATAATAGACAGACTTAAGATATTATGGGGGTCAATAGCTGCGTTAATAGCAGTGTTATTGGTACTTTTGAATGAACATTTCCTTCCTATGGGACTCAAGATATTCAGGTCAGCGTATATTGCCAGTGCCCTCTGCTGTCTCGTGCCAATAGCTCAGTAACAGAGAGAGTATATGGTCAGTTACAGACTCGTGCAGGATTTTGTTTCTACATATAGAATAAACATAGTAGGGAGAAGTGCATTGTTACTGGAAAACTAACATGTGCAAACAAATTAGAATGCTATTTAAAAGACAAGGTGAAGTCATTACTTAATGAAAATTTAGTTCTCCTGATAATTGCAAGATTTAGTTGGGCAAAAGTCCTACTGAGAATGGTAAGACACTGACCGATGGTTCAGAAATGCAGACTAAGGCTCAGCTGATCCTGTCAAGAAAAATGGGATTGTCTCTTCTGCAATACTCTGCTTTATGTATTGTATTATAACGGAAGAAAATATTAAGATACTTTACACATGTAAGTTGCCATTGAAAGATACTCTTGATTAGCTTTCTCCCGTATCTCCATATCATCTAAAGGAAAAGAAAAAAATAATTCTCACCACTCTGGATGGTTCCCAAATAACTCACATCTATTGTTATTTTCTTCTGTGAGTGATTTCCAAATTATATCTTTATTAATAAACTATACAAATAATCTATCAGAATTTAGCCCAGAAAAGTTATTATGATTTTTCTTCAAGCAGAAGATAGAATATAGCTTTAAAAAAATGATATACTTATGAAAAATGGACCATATCTAGAGAAGGAGAAAAGAAATAATATGGGAAAGTATCTAGACAGAAAAATTAAGGCCTAGAGAATTTTTATAACAAGCAAGGTATAGACAAGGAAGTTGCAAACCTGTTTCTAATGAAGTGGAAAGTTATCGCTGAGATAACTGGTGCTGCTGGTCATTATTTCAGGGTGATGAAACATTAACTGAGGCTTCAAAGAAGTTGTGGAATTGTTACCTTGCTCATTTATAAAAAGTTGTTTTCTTTAATAGCCATCAATCTGGATGGTATAGATATTGAACTGCCAGACACAGAAGACTGGTGTAAGTAACATCTTCAGTTCTCCAATTCTATGAATCAAAACAACATGTTACATTTTGGCAGGTGCTTAGAAAATTTAGAGTCCGTGCCAGAATTGCATTATAAAACATTGAGCTTCAGAACTTGTATTTTATTCTTGCTGAAATATCTTATCTTTGTCACTAAATCTGCTTTAAATGGCTCATCATGTTATATACTATGGGATTTCATACTCCTGGTGAACAAACTGAGTTTATTTGGAAAATTCTGGTGAAGATAAAGAAGGCCAAGGGCCAAAGTGAAGTTTTAAAAATATCAGATCACAATGTTTAAGCTTGGTGGTCTTGTCTGTACCAACTTTGTACCTTTCTGTACGAGATAATTATCTTTTGAAATGCCCTTATTTTCTTCACAATAGTAACTCTTTTGATTTAAATACAAAAATAAATGTGCCACGATTTTGCCCTTAAACAAAATAAACAATATCTGGACAATATCTGGCTAACTATGGAACACTTAGGTTTTATTTTTCAAAAATTGGAAGGGTTCTTAAGATAACATCAATTTGTTTTGATCCTAATAAGAAGAGCTTTAGGCCAGGAAAGCAATTATTTCCACATGGGTAAGGCCAGTCCCAACTACTTCCTGTCCACCAACTGCTCACTGAACTTAAACTTGTTTCCCTTGGTTTATATAGTTGGATGTGGTTGAATGCATTAGGAAATGCAGGCTCTACTTAAAATAAAGTCTTCTGAGATATAGAAAACATTTCTTTGTGTAAAGGATTTTTGTGTATAATGTTCAACAGCAAGTAATTTAAACTTTTTGAATTACCAAGGGAATTTAATTTCATACACATACATATGTATAATTATTACCATTTTGTTTATACATCGTTTCTCTTTGTTGACTCTTGACTGCATTCTTAATAGGTGAGTTTGCTATGTAGAGACAAGTATTGCTTGTGGTGTTTGAGTAGGGACATGGCAGATCAGAAATGAAAGGATTTGTATTAAGTGATGTGGTTGATTATTCCAGTGATGAGCCTAATTCTAAAGCTGTCACCATGAATCACTCCATTAGCATAGCAGACACTCCTGTCACTAAGGAAATTTTAAGGATTTTTGAAGCTGTGTACCAGGAACTGGGAACAAAGACCAGATCTATTCCTTATTATAGCATAATCTATAGATTTGCCTTCCCTGGAAACTTTATATACAGGTGTCCCCCAAAAATGTATACACACTTCAACAGCTGATAGCTCAGTTTTGAAAATGAAATGTATTTAAATAAACACTGCCTTTATAAATATTTAAAGTGTATGTATAGATTTTTTGGGTCACTCTGTACTCTTTTGTTTCTGACTTCTGTCACTTAGCATGTTTTTAAGGTTCATCCATATCAGTTTTCCTTTTCATGACTGAATGGTATTCTATTGTATGGATAATATTTTGTTTATCTAGTTAATGAACATTTGGATTGTC